AGATTTCTTAAGCGGACAAAGCAACACGTTAAATTGGACAAAAAGTTTTGTTCAGGAGACGTGTAAATGCGATCCTGCTACCATCCACATGTTCTCCTTATAGGACTAGAAATGCACTGCACAATTTACGGAGGTAAAGTATGAATGAAACAAAAAAATACCATCAGACTTCCATGTGTCTCCCATGTAGGCGCTTCTGTTTTATACAGCTCTTCAAACTGTTTCCGATAATTAGGAACCAATTCCTTATCCAGCTTTTCCATACACTGCGAATACGGGACCTTCATAGCAAAACCAAGGTTGGAAAAAAATAAATTAAGAGACCGTTTCATCCGTTTTGTACTTGTACGTCATTTTTTTAACATTATACCAGAATATCAGGAGTCAAAGGAAGCCAGTACATACCATGTAAGGGTGCCTCTCATCCTGGAAATAAGTGAGGATGTGAAGAACACACCGAAGAATACAAAACCTTTCCTCATAGTAGTAATCAGCAATCTGTGAATACATATTTGTTGTCTTTTTCAGAGCAGCTCTCTCTGCATTTTCATGTTTGCTTCCGCACAGTCTCTTTGCTTAATTCCCAGTTTCCACCCCACGTGAACCTCTGATTAGCAGGGATTTCATTTGCTATTTATTTTTTTCACACAAACCCACCCCGGTACGTTATCTGTGAACAATGTTGTTTTTTACCCTCATCGTAATAGATTGTGGTTTCTTGTTTTGTCACTGGGCTTTTGGATAATTTTCTTTCTCACTGGAAAAGGGGGATAAAAATATTATCCGAAATAATAACAAGAAGCCACTAGGGGCAAATCAGGAGCAAGTGGCAAGAGCCAGCATTTCTTACTTAGAACTTCGATCCTCTCTGCTGTATCGAGTCAAACACACACACACACACACACCTGTGCCCCCCCAACAATAAAAGACTTGGTACAAAAGCAGTAGAGACGGGAGCAGGGTCCCTGGCAGGATATAGGGGGGGACTCACCTTCAGTAGCAGGGTTTGGCTCTGCCTGTCATCTTGGAGCACGGTCTAGAAACGAAAAGGGTATGCAAGGAATCAGTCAGAAAGAGTTGAGGCTTGGACAGAGATACAAACAACGGGGAAAGGTATGTCCCCATTTAGATTTTGGCTATAATCATCAAGGAATGAATAGCATGGATGGATGGATGTTTTACCCCATCTATTGTTTTTATAAATAAGTCAAAGAGGTGAACATACCTAACATTGCTTCCTCTTCCTTTCCCACCCCACCACAACAAGTTTATGAAGTCACTTAGGCTGAAAGTGACTGGCCCAAACTCACCCAACCAGTTTTCATGCCTAAGACGGGACTAGAATTCCCATGAATCTTAGTATTTATGGCTTGTACCTCCGGGTATTTATGGCCTCACCCCCAAGTGGAAATGCAAGCTTACGGCATCACAGTGAGACCTCGCTGTGTAAACTCCTAGCCTTCAAGAGCCACGCACACACACACACACCTGTCAACAGAAATTCTGGAGAAGAGAGAGACTGTGTGCCATTACGCACCTTTAGCGAGTCTCTAGTCCCCCTATAATCTTCTTGAAGGTAACACTGTAAGAGCTGCACACTTTGCTCCTCATCCAAACCCTGCAATGGCAGACAAACTTTTAGTTGCGTTACATGCTTTTGGGGAGAGAGGAATAAGACAATGAAGAATGGCACAACGCCTAATTTTCAGTGCTGCTTCCAAGTTCTGCAAAGCATCTCGATTAAACTTCAAAAGTCCCAGTCACAAACCTCACTCAGACAGTAAGACTGGAGAAAACCAGCTTCCGTCCAATTCTGGTATTTCCTTCCACCCCCGTCCTGAAACACGCCGAGCAAAAAAGCAGCAAGACTTTTGAAAGCATTTCTTACCAAAAACTTGCTGACTCTGAGTCCCAGTTCCTTCAACGAAGCAGGGACGTTTTTATCAGCTTTCACGATTTCTGCTGAATTGGAACTACACGTAAGAAACAGTTATTCAGTTTAATTTGTTTGGAACCAAGTGAATCTTAATCTAACACATGGGTTATTTTTATATCCACAAACATTCCATAAACATTACAAAAAACCCTAAAGGAAATCTAAAATAAAACTATCTACACATGAGCAAATTCAGAAAGAAAACCCAGAGAAAAACAAGGTATGGGGCCCACCTATCTTTGCAGTCAAGCCTAAGAATCAGGTCTTAACCCTTAAGAGTTCATTTAAATAACATTGGGGAAAAGGGGTTATCTTTTAGTTTTGTGTCTGCTGTTTTTTTCTGTTAAAATTTCAAACTAGATGAATTTCTAAAAGGAAGAAGCAGGTTCATGACCAGAAAAACCCCACTGTTTCTACAAATTTTTCCTAACTTTAGCGCTGTGCTGGATACCCAGCATCTGGTTATTGTACCTGGGTGGTTTGTAGTAACAAAGTCCTTCAAGCAACCTCTGCCAATGTTTATTCAACTCTTCTGCGATCTGTGCCTAAATCAGGACAAAAGGATGGTGAACCTAGAGATTCCTCTCAACTGTTAAAAAACTGTTTGCTTGGTTTCGCAAAGCAGGATAGATGGAAGGAGGAGCGTTGTACAGTGGGGTGTCCAATGTACAGTGGGATGTCCGACCTTGGCAACTTTTAAGACCTGTGGACTCTTTCATTGGTTGACATCATCTGGTTCATCTTTGAAATAGCACCACATGCTCAGAAGTTCTACGATGTAGCATGTAACATTCCATCCCATCCCATGATAGTCTTAGTATGATCTCGTTCATGCTCATTGTCATATTCAGGAGGTGTGGTTTTTATATAACGAGATATACCGAGTTTGCAGGTCACAAAAGTTCAAATCAGCATCCTGGTTGGGTTTGAGCCAATGCTTGTCAGACTCTACATTCATCATAGAGATCTTGTTTTGTTACTTCAAGGAACCCAAAATATTAACCTAAGGAATCTACATTAATCAAAGAGGCCTCCCTCGATTGTTGCCATGATTAATGCTAAACTAGAGAGGTTTCGAAGGAAACAGCCTAAGCCACATTGCTTACCGGTTCTCTCAAAGCTGATCTTCCCAAAAGAATGGTCCACAATTCTCTGCTGCTCCTTAAAATAAAAGCCACACATTCCTTAAAGTCTTTTAAAACCTCACAGAACTATTTCTCTGGACATGAAAGCCAGTTGGAAGACTCAAAGCCAGCTTTTCTCTTAGCCCAACCCACAGGATCAACACAACACAACTAGTGTACACTTTCTCATGTGCAGGGATGAACACATCACGTAGCCAACTTTGAGAAGCATCAAGGGGAATAGCCATACTCCCAGATAGCACATTAGTTATTTATGACATATCACGCATGGACTATCAATACATATTAACATTTCATCTATCTTCTAAATTAATAAAACAGAATGAAATATACATCTTAAAAAGATCTATGTTGAAATACCAACGTCTAGGTCGTCTAACCACGGAAGCAGAGCAGATACTGGACCATATGCTTACAGCTGATCACAATGTCAGACAGCACCAATGTGTAAAGAATGCACAGTCAGAACAATTATTACGTCATCCTGCCTTTCTATACATACAGGTAGGTCACAATTAGTGCATGTTCAAATCATGCAATGCTCAATTTAGGGCAAATTATAAACTGATACTGGGTTGCATTTAAAACAAGTCAAAAATGTGGTGAGCAAGATGCTAGCCAATGTACATTTGAGCCTGGCATATGCACAATTGTGGTTTTAGACGCTCTTGAACTTCCTGGGTGCAAAATGGGAGGTTCTATCAGAGGAAAACAGAAAAAGTAACAGTTTTAAAACAAATGTTTTTGTTACTTTTACAAAGGATTTTGTGGTTCTATTTTGCTTTCTCTTAACTACTCTGTGATCCCTATATTTAAATTATATGTATATTCTTCCTGTAACAGCTCATTAATATACAAATGAAAGTTAATTATTGATATTTTTCTTGTATCTTTCCACCTAGCTGAAATCAATTACCCTATTTTCCAAGGAAACGTCAGTTCAAAGAGCTCAAATTCAAATCAGACCCAATCAAAGAACTCAAATTCAAATCAGGGGATCCTTTCCTGTGGGATCTTTTTAGCAGAACCGATGGAGACCTACCTGGAGATCTTTTGGGGGCAATTCAAAATGTTAAATATACATTTAATATATCCCTGCCTTCTTCCTACTCAAATGGAATTTATTCACTTCCTTCCAGGGGGGAAAGTGTTATTCTATTAAGCCAGCTTGGGGCATCCCCAAAGGCTGCCAGAGTGGAAAGCCAAAGATCTGAGTTCGAGTCCTGCCTTAGGCGCCCAAGCCACCGCCTCCCCTCTCTTTCCCACCTCACAGGGTTGTTGTTGGAAGGGAAGGAAGATGTGTACATTAAGGGTCCAGCTGGACCTGGGAGGCTTATCCCTTCAAATAAATAGCGATAAATAAACCCCCCTGGCCCTCAAATGAACAGCAATATAGGCAGGAGATGGAAGGGGGGCTTCGCTAGGGGTCCTCCCTCCCCTCCAACCCGCAAGACCCTCACTCCAAAGCTCGGGAGGGGGGTGAGCGGGCTCGGCTCGGGGCTTCGGCCGGGCTCTGCCGTCCCTCAGCCGCTTCCTCCCCTCAGGGGCTCCGACAACGACCGCGCGCGCCCCGCCGGCTCCTACCTCGCTGACAGCCCGCCGGCCGCCATCTTGCCTCCCCTCCCACGTGACCCCCTTCCTCCCCTCCCGCCTACCTCGCTCGCCCGCCCGCCGAGCCGCGAGGAGGAAAAGGGGGGAGAAAGGGGGCGGGGCCGCCAGTTGGAAAAAAAAAAGAGAGAGAAGGCGGGGTGGCGCCTGCGCGATGGGGTTTCCTCCCTCCCCCACCAGCGCTCGACCGTTAGGAAAGCTGGCGCGCTCCCGTGTGGGCATAGGCGTCTACGTGCGCCCGTCTGACGTCACCGCCGCGCGCCGTCGTCGTCACCGCAAAGATGGCGGCGCCCGGGTGGGTGAGTAGGTCAAGGGAAGCGATGAGGCGGAGCGATGAGGAGGGAAGGCTCGGAGGGCGGCGGGATGGAGTCGTAAGGGCGGCTTTCCTCCCAAGAGCTCATCCCCCTGGAGAAGGCGGGAGGATGCATGGCGGGCGGGGTCCTCCGCTTGGCTTCCTCCTCCTCCTCCTCCTCCCCCCACGATCTGCTTCACAACAGCCCCGCAGGGTAGGGTAGGCTGGGGCCAAAACGGCGCTTTCCAGCTTGGGAGTGCAGGGCTTGGACTCTCGAGGGTGGCTGGGGAATGATGGAGGGTGGTAGTCGCACCTTGAGAAAGGGGGTGCCAAAGAATTGAGAAGGGGGTTGGACTAGATGACCTACACGGTCCCTTCGAACCCTGTTAACAATCTGTAATAATTATCGCCCGAGGTGGGCACAGGGGGGCCTCGGACCATTGAGAGCCACAGCTCTGTCTTCTGTTAAAAAGAACCCGGTTAAGGACAGCTGGTTGGTGTTGTGGGGTGCACCATTGTGTTGCCATATGCTCCTTTAAAAGATTTTATTTTTCTTTTCCAGGGATGATCCGAACAAGGGAGGGAGCTTTCAGCCCTGCATTTGAAACGCCCTGGACAGCTGCGGAGATCCTTCGCTTGCGAGACGTCACCATGTGGAACCAACCGGTCCTGGTGGAATCGCTGGTGGTGTTTGCCATCGTTCTTTGCGTGCACAGCGTCGTCTGGGACCGCTTCTCATGGTCTGCTCTGGTCCTCGCTGTCCAAGCCTTCTACATCCAGTTTAAGTGGGACCATCTCCTCCGCCTGGGTGGGGCTGTGTTCCAGTTCCGGACCACATCCAACAGTGGCCTCCTCCCCTCCTGTATGGTCATCCCTCTGCTGGGCATTGTGATGAAGGAAAGGTGCCGAGTGGCTGGCATTGTGTACTTTGAGCGCCTGGGCATTGTTGTGGCCTCCACCGGCATGATGATCGCCCTCTTCCTCTCAGTGATCGCCTTGGGCATTACCAAGCCGGTGCCAACGAACACCTGCGTGCTCTCCGGGATTGCTGGAACGCTGATCATCTACACCATGAAGCATTCCTTGACCGTCTCCGAAGTGATCGAAGTGTTGGAGGTGTTGCTCATTTTCGTCTACCTCAGCATGATCCTGCTGTACCTGCTGCCTTGGTGCTTCACCCCTGGCGAGGCGCTCCTGATCCTCACCGGCCTCAGTTTCGTCCTCAACCAGCTCATCAAGCGCTCCCTGAACGTCAGTGAGAACCGAGGGAGTCCTGTGGACTTTTTCCTCCTGGTGGTGGTGGTGGGAGTGGTCCTGTTGGGCCTCTCCTTCGCAGTGCTCTTTTTCTTCATGGATTCCACCACCTGGACCTCCTCCATGTTCTTCCATATGATGACCGCCGTCCTGAGCCTCGGCGTGGTCATGCCTTGGCTCTACCGCCTGATCCGCAGGAATCCCTTGACGTGGCTCTTCCAGATGCTCTCCCAAACCCAGGTCAGAATTTACCTGCTGTGCTACTGGACCCTCCTGGCTGCTCTGGCTTGCGCGATAGTCCTCTACCAAAACATCAAGCGGTCCTCCGGTTCTAAAAAACACCAAGCTTCAACCGTCGTCCGGAAGTACTTCCATTTCATCGTAGTGGCCACTTACGTCCCGGGGCTGATCTACGACCGGCAACTGTTGTATTTGGCGTCCGTCATCTGCCTGGCTGTCTTCATTCTGCTAGAGTACATCCGCTACTTCACCATCAAGCCCTTCGGACAGACGCTCCGGCAGTTGCTCTCACTATTCTTGGACGAGCGGGACAGTGGGCCTTTGATCTTGACTCACATCTACCTTCTGCTTGGGATGTCCTTCCCGGTGTGGCTGGTGCCGAGGCCGTGCGCTCCCAAGGGTGTCTTGACGGGGGCAGGAGCCTTGGCTCCCTACTCGGGGGTTCTGGCTGTGGGCGTGGGGGACTCGGTAGCCTCCATCTTTGGCAGCACGATGGGAGAAGTCAAGTGGCCGGGAACCAAGAAAACTTTTGAAGGAACCATGTCAGCCATATTTGCCCAAATCATTGCGGTTGCCCTGATTGTGATTTTTGACAGCTCTGTAGACCTGAACACCAGCTACTCCTGGATCTTGATCTCCATCACCCTGGTGTCGTTTTTAGAAGCTTACACCACCCAGGTGGACAATTTACTCTTGCCTCTGTACTTCCACATCCTGCTGATGCTTTAGCTACCCTGGAGGGGATAGTGTTTTTCCTCCTGGAGCATAATCAGATACGCCCATCCTTTTATTTCTTTGGTGTCTTTGGCCCAGGGTAGCAAATAGAGACACCACGACCCCCCTCCCCCCTGTAAGTGATTGCACGTTCATTATTTAAAGCTGAAATGTAATGAGGCTCCTCTTTGTGGGTTTTTTTTTTTTTAACATGGCTTCTGCAGTATAATACGCAGCAAGGGTTTTCAAACTGTGAGTGGCCATCCTCCAAGGGGTTGTTTTGTTCTTTTTGTCTTAAGCAGGAGAGGTTTGTTCAAGCAGTCAAAGGGCCGGCCGGACTTGAAGCCAGACACCCCAAGTTCTAGCCCTGCCTGAGGCACAAAAGCCAGCTGGGTGACTTTGGGCTAGTCTGTCTCATCTCACCCCTTAGAAGAAGGAGGCAAGACAAACCAAAGAAAGGGAAGGGAGTTAACACTTTTAACAAGGCTGCTCAGGCTGACTCTGACAAAGCAGGAAGTGAAGCCCTAACTGGTTTGAGAGAATGGTTGCATCTCTGTTTCAGATTAACACGGAATTGGATAAATTTTAATTTTTCTTGAGGATCGTGATCAGGATTATGACATCAGCAAAGCAGGGTCTTTTTTAAATTCTTGGGAGGCTATTCAAAGCAAAACGGGCGCCATTAGAGGTTTAAGGCATCCATTTTGCCCATCAACACCCCCCCCCCCAACCCTTTCCATATATCTCTCTAAGCCAAACACAGCCACATCTATCCCAAGGATCTTCTAGAACAAGGCAAGCACCACAAAGAGGCAAGGTTCGGGGGAAACTTTCCTCCAGCGAGTTCAAACTGCAAAGTTAGACCATCTTCTCCTAACCCAAACTGGAAATTACAGGAAATCGAAGATATTTCTAAAAGGGTGAGTTATAAATTATTCCATGCTGTTGAATTCTAAGAAAGTCTTACAAAGGGGTCATCCACAGCAGGTACATAATTGGAATTCCAGTCCACATTTTATTGCGTTTCTAACTTGCCTCTCCTTTCAGAAGCCAGGAGCAGTGCTGGTTTCCTGCATGCCTCCTCCTCCTTCACAACATCCCCATGACATTCGTTGCTGAGCAAAAGCTACAGTCTGTCTGTCCTTGGTCAGGATCTGATGCTTTTAATTCCATGCCAAATTCATTTTTTAAGCCCACGCTCTCCTGAACAGGCTCAGCCGATTCAGAGATGATGTGAAGCTGGAGACAGAAATTCCCCAGCTACAGAGGCAGAGCTGAAGATCAGCCCCCACTCCCCCCAAAAATAAATAAAAGTGGGGGTCTTCCACAGTAGGAGATTCTGCAGGTTTAGTTGCTCGTGTACAGCGATGGGAAAGGCAGTTCCAGAGTTGGTTGAAGCCTGAAACGAGTGAGCAAAACTGTTAAATGGGTCCTGAACTCCCCTGCTAGTGAACCAACTGGGGGTGGGAAAGCCTTGGCAAAAGTGGCACTGCCCAGGACAAAGCCCCCCCCGTCCCTCTCCTTCCGCTTACCAGTTCTCAGCGCTCCAAACCGCGCCCTTGGCCTCCATCAGGTGGAAAGTGTAAACTTCTCGGGACGCTTCAGAATAGTTTCCTTCACTTTTGTGCACCACCTCGCCGTGGATAAGGATTAAGTCCCCTGGTTCACCGTGAAAGAAGAGTGAAATGTACTATCCAGCTGGAAGGGGCATTTCACAGTTTGACAAGCAGTGCTTGACTTACAGCCTACTCGCTTAGCGACCAAGGTTGCAACCCACAGAGTTGCTAAACACCCATTTTGAAAGTTAACCACAGCCAAACTTACACCCTGCAATGAGATGATTGCATTTTGGGTACTTGGCAACTTGGCTTGCCTTTATGACTCTTTGCCGTATCCCACAGTCATGTAAACCACAATTTGTTACCTTTTTTTTCTGGTTTCTGGCATTGACATTTCGTTTCCAGCAAAAAAAAAAAAAAAAACCCTGTCCATTGGGGACAATGGATTCATTTAATGACTGCGGCGTTCACTTAAGAACCACCATGTTTGTTTAACTGCCGCAAAAAAAAATGTCAAAACATCAGGCCAGTCACTTGAAGCTTTGACATTTAATTTTATTGATTAAATTGCCGCCCATCACACCTAGAAATTGACTCTGGGCTACTTGCAAGTTATAAAACAAGTTAAAAAAATAGTAAAAATGACAGATTAAAATATTATGAACGTGACTTACGACTTTTAATTCCAATAAGTTGAGGACTATCTATAAATGCAAGCCAGTTGCCCAACACCAGGAGTGACCACGGGTAATGCTGTAGTGGTCGTAACTGCGAGGACTGGTTGTAAGCCACTTTATCCAGCACAGTTGTAATTTGGAACAGTTATTAAACAAATGGTAGCAGTTTATTAGAATTGCTTTTCCCAGAAGGGGGCAGCATATGGCCAATTTGGGCTGATTTAGTTAAAAAATGCAGGCTGAGTTACACTTTGTATGGGAGATAAGCCAAAAATTGTGCAAGTGGGAAAATCCCAACACTTTTCAGGGAGACGCTAGAACAAGTCATTGACGTCACTCATCAAACTCAACTCCATAATTGCTTCTCCTGTACAGAATATTTCCAAGTAATTTGCAAAGGACTTTCAAGACAAAAATAAAGATGGTGCATCATACCACCCAATCTCTAAAACAGATCCTGTCCTCAACCACAAATGAGCCCAAAATTTCTGTTGCAAAGTGAGGCAGTTTGTTAAGGGACTTCTGCCACATTTTTACAGCCGTTCTTGTCACAGTTCTGAAGTTAATCGGTGCAGTCATTTGTGACACTGTTTTTAAGTGAATCTGGCTTCCTGTTGACTTTGCTTGTCAGAAGATCGCAAAAGGAACACACCACCCCCTGGGACCGCCATAAATATGAATCAGTTGCCAAGTGGCCAGATTTTGATCACATGACCATGGGATCCTGCAACAGTTGTTAAGTGTGAAAAACGGGCATAGGTCGCTTTTTTCAGTGCCGTAACTTTGAACGGTCACTAAACAATTTTTTTTAACTCAAGGACTATATTGGTTTGGTTTCTTCAATGGAGTGAAAGACCTAGATTTAAAATGGGTCTGATTCAGGGGGTCTCCAAATTTGGCAATTTTATCGCTTGTGGACTTCCAACTCCCAATGGCTGGCTGGGGAATTCAGGCAGTCGAAGCCCAAAAGTCTTAAAAGTCGTCAGGTTTGGAAAATCTTGATCTAAATGATGGCATAATAGAATAGAATAGAATAGAATAGAATAGAATAGAATAGAATAGAA